TATTTATATTAACAAATGTCATAATATTTATTCAAATCATTAAAAAAAATTCATTATCTTTATAAAAAATGTGGAATTTTAATTGCAAATTATATCTTAGGTATTCCATACTTAAAAAATTATATTATGATTAATTTTATAAAAATAAATCTTAGATTCATTAATTTAATATTTCAACATTCTAATATTAGCTATTGATTATTTTAATATTATGATATTTATATTTAATAATTGAATAAAAAAAAAAAGTATGATAAAATCTTTAAATTTTTAAATTAAAGTAAAAATTGTATAATTTATTATCTATTCTTTAAAATTTGTTTCTTATAATATATATTTTAAAAAATAGGTTGAAAAATAAAAAAAATGAAATAGTATTTTTTATAAGTTTTAAATATTTCATTACATCATTTCACAAGTATACTATTAAAAAATATAAGATTTTTTATGTCTATATTACTTTTAGCAAAATCAGAACCATAAAAATCAAATTTATGAGTCAAAAAAATATTCAAAATCAATATTTTATAAGTTTTAATTTTCTTGAAGAATAATAACTATTTATTTATAATTCATTTATAATATTTTTTTTATAATTCTTCTTTCTTTGAAACTAAAAAAAAAATCAAATATTTTGAATTTTAATTATTATCATAATTTTTTTTAATACTAATATTATTTTTTTAATAATATTATTTTTTTAATATTAATATTATGATATTATTAATTTATAAAATCTTAAAATACAAAAATTATGTTTTACCATGCATTAATGCTATTGAAAATTTGTATTTTATTGTAAAAATTTAATACAATATTAAATTTAAATTTTAAATTTAAAATCTTAAATAAATATATAAATAAGAAAAAAATTGGCAAAAATCAAATAAAATAAGAAATGAAATTGTTATATTAATTATATATATTGATATACTACATATAATATACTATAACACAATTCATTTTAATATTTTATTGGGATGCAATAGAATATATTATACTTAAATTATATTTATTTCAATATAATACTATTTATCAATTACCATGACAACATATATTATCATATATTAAAGAAACATATATTAAAGAAACATTTCATAAAATCGCGGGAAATCATATTAAATAGGTTATGTTTAGAGACTTACCGAGACTGAACCCTTTCATTGTTGCCAGATTTATATTTAATATAGTTAGTATTAGAATCAATTATGTATGTTTTCAATTTATTAAAAAACTTTCGTATATTTCATTTATTTTCGAATTATATATTCATATATTATATTTTTAGATTATTTGTAAAGAATAATACATACAGAGAAAATACGTAAAAATAGCAAACAACATGAAAATTTATCGATAGTCCTTACCCAAGTGTTACGTAAAAGTATTCATAAAAAAAACGTTACAGTGTTAATGATGCTATTCTATTATTTTTTTTAATTTTTTATTCATTAAATAATTAATTTTGTATTATATATACATTATATTTTATAATAAAAGAATAATTGTTATTAATTATAAAATTATTTTATATAATATAATGCGTACTATATATTCTTATATTTTTAAGAAATAATCAAAATGTCTAAAAGATATATAACCGATTTCTAATTTTGATTAATATATCAAATTATTAAAAAAATCTAATTGCATAATAAAAATTAATATTAATTATATTAACGTTACATTTCAATTGTTATAAACCAAATGGGTTATTTTCATGCTAGCTTTGAGTCACTGATATCGCCATCGTTATCTACTGTGATAAGGGACGTAGTTTTTGTAATCTCGCCGTCGATACGATACGATTCCATCTCATATTATTTGTAATAATTATAAATTTAATTTGTTATGTATTTTATCATAAATAAAGTACGGATATAGCAAAAATAATTTTAATCTTAAACATTAAATAAAAAAAGAAATGTATAATTTTCTTAGCGTAAAAATTCTAATTATTCAATGTCAATTTATGGATTATATATTTGCGTAATAAATAATTCTGATAAATTAAAGATACAAGGTCATTTTTTGAATCTTGATATTCTTATTACAGTCCTTAATATTTTGCTAGAAATTGAAAAAAAATTTACATTGAAAAAAATATTATACAAGAAATATACATTGTTACAATAAAGAATAAGAATAAAAAATTAAAATAATAAAAAATATTCTTTCTTAAAGTTTTATGATACAAAATTATCGAAAAAAAATTGGAATTATATATATTTATTTAAAATAATTGAAATGAATTATAGGAGCAAGGTCGTTTGTGTTCAAATCGTATCAAAGTCATAAAAAGACTATTCACAGGTTGAGATAAATCTTCAAGTTCAGTTAAATGACGTTACATCATAAATCAAAGACAACCCTCGTTATGCTTATATGATCATTTTAAAGATGCTTTGAAAATATCTTTCTTTTTTTTGAGATTTTTTTATAGAAACATATTTTAAACATTATTATAATAATTTAGTTTTTTGGCATTTAAAAAATCAATGTAATTTAATTGTGACAACATATGAAATGTGAATAATTATTTTAATATATTTTATTTTTTAAGATATATAATAAATATATTTTATATATTGTTTATATATTGTTTATAATAATTGAATAAATAAAAAGTAAAATATAGATAAAAAATATAATTTCTAAATATGTATTTTAAAATGAATTTACTCTTTTGAATTATGTATATATACAGATATAGATGAAATCAAACATCTAATACATAATACATCTAATACATAAATATATTACAAATTTGAAATTAAATACATTTATTTATTATTTTTTTTATATTTATATAATTTAATAATAATTTGCAGAATATTTGTTTGTACAATTTGCAAATTAATATTTTAATATAATATTTAATTATTAATTTCGTTAAATTAATTTATTTAATTTAAAGAAATCTTAGCAGAAATACAATAAAATAAAATTGAATTTTTATTGTAATACTCGCACTAAAAAAATTTTTAATGCGATACATTTTTAAAATTTCATAAAATTAAAATTATGATTCATTTTTATATAATATATAATATAGCAAGAATTTAAATATATTAAGGAATAAATCAAGTATAAATAAATAAACAACTTGCTTGAAAGAAACAATTTTTTTTTAATATAAACAAGAATTAATATTATCTGAATATAACAATTGAATATCTACATCTGCATTTTACAAACTATTTACTCATTTTTTGATAACAAAAAGTACATTGCAACATCAATATTTAACATTTTCTATAAATAATCTTACATAAATTTCAATATAATAATTGATCAATATAATTGATTAAGTAATTAACACACAAACATATCATATCATGTAACAAAAAAAATATAACATGAAATAACATTTTTCATGTTTATCTTAAAGTAGAAATAAAATATTAAATCATGAATTAATAAATTACGTATACAATAAAATAACATATTAAGTATATTTAATTTACTCAAATATTTAATTAAAATTTTAATTTAAACGAATTGGTTTTATATGAATTAAAAGAATATGTATAATAATTATACATATACAAATATATATTAGAACAATATCATTATTTTTATGACTGAAATGTTAAGAAAATTAACAATAAAAATTTTCTCAAAAAATTCATTCAGTCTCTTATTACATGATAATGTACCAAAAATTAAGTGAATGTGACCTGCATAAGGTGTATTATAGTATTTAAAAAAAATGCAATTTTTTCAATAAAGTTGATATTGAAATCAAAATTATATATAAATGTGAAATATTGATATGATATAATTACAGAATTTACAAATATTTTTGTTTTGTAGGAATGTTTTTTCTGAAAACATTGTGGCATAAATGCAGCGTATAGAATATAATATCATTTGCACATTCATTTTTAGAATATTGCACAATAAATTTTATTTAAATTACACTCAAATCTTTTTCTATTTTTTACAAATAATTTAAAAAATCAATGAAAATATTAATTTTATAAATAAAATCAAATAAATTCCATTTAATTATATATAATTATTTAATATCAATTAACTAATATCATTTAAACAATTAAGAAAATTTAAAATTCATTATTTACTGCAATTAATATTAATCATATACGTTTTTATTATAAAATAGAACTAAGATTAGATTAATTGCACTAATTGTTAAGAAAATGCATATATATTAAAATTATATAATATATAATATGTGTATTGATTTTCCAATAATGTTATTACTTTATTTTAATTTGAAAACAATTATTAAATAATTACATGATAATAAAGAATTTGTCATGTTATAAAGAATGTTGCAAATATTAGCAATTCTGCAATATATTAATAACAATTACAACATATAAATTTATAGTAAATTTTATGTATTCCTTTTTTTTATATATATAAAAGACTAGTAAACATGTTTTTTTTTACAAATTTTCAAATGGAATTTTATTGTTTTCTAAGCAATGTTTTCAAAAATTTTTCATTTTTTAATTAAATTTTGATATACTTAATATATATTTTTGAAAATATATTATTAAGTAACAATATTATATTTAATTAAGTATATTTAATTAAGTAACAACTGAAATTGTATTATATTTTAAGATGGTATCATATTGTTTTTAAAAAGCATAATGTTTTTATTTTAAGAAACAATTATTATTCTCATAATATAAATATGCAGAGTACTGCATTAACTTAATATTAAATTTCAAATATATCAAATATAACACCATTTTATTAAAGATTACAGATCAAATACATGTATACATGTATCAAATGCTATATGGCAAAACATGAATGAATATAAACAAAGATATTTAATGGAATATAGTTCAAAACTTTTCTTATTTCTAGTGCCAGTTTTATAGATGTGTATAAGAAATCTTTTGTACATATATAAAAACATTATACTATTAAAGTATCCTTGTTGATTGAAAAATTGGATACTCAAAAAAAGTCTTTACATATAACATCAGTTTTGAATAATCATTTAACTTGATCAAAAGATACCATTTTAATTTTTATTTTATCATTATGATGTAGTAAAATATCCAGATAAATGTTCATAAATATGTTCATTAGCTACAATTTTAAGAGTTCTTTCAATGGTGTGTGCGCAATATCCTTTTGACTGTTTAACATTTGATATGCAATCAAACAGTCAATCATTCTTGGACTTTGTTTCATTTTCAAGTTGACTACCTTCATCTTCCTCATCTGAATAATTTGTAGGTGCTTCACCAGGTTTTAGTAATCTTCCTACATAATCATATTTTTCTAAAAATAAAAAAAAATGAAAATAATGATATTTATAGTATATGATTAATTTTAATGTAATTTTAATTTAAATTATATAAAATAAATTCACTTTCAAATTTTATAAACTAAAATTTAATACACAAAGATTTATTGTGATGATATATTGATATATAAGATATATAAAAAAATTCTAAAAATTTTTTCTTTTAAATTAAAATAACAAATATCATTTTGTATTTTATAACTTCATATTCTTTATTGAAAAAATATGTCTTAAATAATTACCTTTAAATTGTTCTTCCCATTCTCTTATAGATTCCATTTCTCCAGTTTTCAAATCACTTAAATCATCATATTCCTGTGATGTTTCCAATGAAAATTTTGCTAAGGCTCTACTAATATCTTTTCCACCAAATACTTCATATGGGGCACCTATATGTAAAATAGATAAAAAAAATAAATTAAATGATTTAAAAAAAAATTGAAAATAATTTTATTTGTTAATTATTTTTATAGATAAATTTTTTAATTTATTTAATGAGATTTTTTATATATTGTAATTGAATGTCATAATTAAATAATGAACGAAATGTAAAAGTCATCTACTATCAATCTCAATCATGTTCTATCATAATTTAGTTAATTATCACGGTTTCATGATGTTTGTAAATTATTTTTACGTAAGCCGAGGTCAAGCGATAACCAAGATGAAGATGAAGAACATTAAAAAATTGAGGTAGGTAAGAAAATATAACAATTAAGTAATTTTGTGTGTAATAACGATGTGAACTCATTTCTAATCATATAAATTAGTAAAAGTGATTAAATACTTACCAGGACCATAAAAATGGGCACCACAAGTACAATCATAAATACTACCATTTATAGCAATTAATATTCGTCCATCTGGTCCTTTACCATTATATTTTTTTAACTCTTCAAGTGTAAAATCACGACGCAATTGTGGCAGTTTTTTTATTTCTTTCACAGGTTCTTCAATCTTTGTCTTACTTTTAACAATTTTATAAACCAAAAGGGCAATTACGCCTACTAAAATAAGATTTATTGGACTCTTTACAATTTCAGTTATAAAACTTGAAAGTAGTGGTTGACTTTCATGTCCGGTAGAAGTTGAAGTGGAACCCGGCGAGTCATTCTTTTCCGCCATTTTGACCACCAGTTCTTGAGTGATGAAGAATAAAACGATATTTTTTTATGATTAATTAATTTTGTGTTATGCGTGTATTATATAATTTTTGCACAAATTTAAAATGATTTTTTGAAAAACTAAATTAGTATCTGTCAAATTATATCGTTTAAACCGTATCGTACAACCTCAAACATGAACTGATAACATACCGGTGCTGGCTACTCTAGCACCTACACTGATGTGATTATGTTCTATAACATACTACCCCACTACTAAATTGTATGTATGCCGAGAACTGTATATAAGATTTTTATTTGTTTGACATTAGTCAAGATAATAAAATTTATTAATTTAAAAACAATAATTATTACAATTATGATTTTTACTTTATAATAATTTTATTATTAAATTTACAATTACAAATATATCATTTAAAAAATTATTGTATCATTAAAAAAATTTCGAACATTTTAACATAAAAATATTAATAATATATATTTTATTAAAATTAATTATGAATTTGTAACGCAATATATATATAAATTAAAAAAATTAAATTAATATTTTACATTAGGCATATGCATATACATAAAGATATTGACGAATTGAAAATCATAATTATTTAAATTTTTATAAACTATATACTTCTTTATTTTTTAAAAAATATAATTTTATAAAAAATATAATTTAATCTTAATAAATTAATTTTATTACAGTTTATAGAAATAATTATTTTTATGAAAATATTTAAATAATTTATTTAAAATTTTTATTTCTTTAGATATCTTATTTAATTAAATATAGTTAAAATATATTTTAATTTATTGAGAATTGGATATTATTATATTAAACATCATGATTCAGCAAAATTTTTCAAAGTCATGCTGTTATAGTTCTTCGTTCATTCGTATGTATCTTCCCGTATAATAGTGTGAAAAATTTTAACAAATGAAGTTTTGATTAATATATATTGCCGTTAATGTCACTGCTATTTTTCATATGTTTTATTAATACTTATAAAATATATAAAATTTAATTATTATAACATATTTATATATTTTTTATACTTTATATTAAGTATATTAAAAAATGTATTTTATTTAATTTGATATTATATTGAATAAATTATTAAAATACATAGAATTAATAAATTTAATAATATAATGATTTTTGATAATAATAAAGTAATAATATAAATAATAAAGAAATTGAATCACTTATAATTATTAAAGATTTTTTATTGACAATGATATCTATATATTCTTAATATCTAATAATATTATTAATATTTAGTATTTAATTTGTGTACATGTTTTATATTGTATTTAATATTTATTTTTCAAAGAAAAACATATAGGACAATTTATATTCACCGATTCCAATGATAATTATATATAATAATGATAGATAATTTCTTTTGAAATATATTGACTGATCTACTAAATCAGATATTGTATAACATGAAATTTCCAATGCATCATATGCTCTTCTCAAGCTCTTTTAGCTTTGATTGGATTTGTTTAATTATTTGATTGAGTTGTAGATGTTGCAGCAATATTTGTTATTTTATTTTTATTTCTTACTTCAAAAATAAAAATACAGTCATTTACAATATAATACAATCATTTTGATTGCAATATTTCTAAATAATAATTTATCTTGAAAGATTATAATGTGTACTATATAATTTTTTCCCATTTAAAGAAGTTCTCGTAGTGAGTTAATATATTTTTCCTAATTTTACAATCTAGTAACAAATATATCATTTATTTTCATATTGTGATATTTATGTGCATGAAATAAAAAAATTAATTGTTGTTGGATAAGTTTTCATTTTTCTGAATTAACAGATTTTATAACACTTGAAAACATGGATATTAATTAATTAAATTATTTAAAAAAATAAATTTATTTCAAAATAGTTTGTTTACCAATTGGAACACTGGTAAAGTATCAAGTATTTGACCCTGAGTAGTTTGTTATTGACTTCCACTTGACACATCAGATTGAGGTTGGACTATACTTGATACGAATGGTTGAGTTCGTTAAGTCATATCACCTTCTTATCTATTTATCACATTTGTAAAACTAATGAGATCTTTAATTCTTAGCAATCTGCCTTTTTTGACAATCATATTTCTTTTTATTCCAACTTTTTTTCGTTGTGGTAAAATAACAGAATTATTTTTAGTACATTGCAATAGATCCATTAGTTAAAGATCCTATTTAAAATTAAATTAATGATTTCTCGATTACAATTATATGATTAATAATTATATTGTGCGTTGTTAATAAGATGGCACCAAATAAGATTTAGTCTTATTTAAAGATAAGTTAACCTACACACTCATATAGTCATTCGCATTCTTATAATTGAATTCATCGCATCTATTAACTACCATCGATAACATTTATTAGTATATGTTATATTTAATGAAAGTATAATTTATCACCTGTATCTTTTTGTTAAATCGGATACCAATTTACAATATAATAGAATACCTCCAATAATCTCGTATAATACAATCTCGTACAATAATAATGGAATCTTGATAACTCGAATTTTAAAAAAAAGCTGAAATTTTTCGAATTATAGTGATTGAAATTTTGAATGAGAGATTTATAAAGAACAAATGAAAATGCGACATAAAAGCTTTGTATAAAGGTTGATACTGTTTCAATTATAATGAAAGGAGTTTTTGACCATAAATTATTTATTACATATATATAAACATAATCAATTGAATTTTACTTTCTTACTTAAATTTTATTTATGAAGAGATAAAACTTTTTTGAAAATTTTTCTTATAAAATGATAAAATTTGATATAGAAACAAAAAAAAACAATTTTAATATTAGAAATGCATGAAATCAAAAGTTATATGTATTTAAAAATGCTTTATTTTTCGAATTATATCGATTTCTTTCATTGTCCAACCAAAAAAAAAAATTTTTTTCTATTAAAAATTATACGTACACATTATCGACAATTGGTAATTTTGATATTTGAAATCGGTATTCGTAATGACATTTTAACTATATACTATATACTATATACTATATATATAACTACATACTATATACTTTTAATATTTGTTCATAGAACATTAGAATATCCCATAAGTCCTTCGGAATTTGAATTCCGTCTAAAATAAAAAATATTCTTAGGTGATCGAAGTTACAATGATAATAATATAAGTATCATATTTAATATCTATCTTTTCTATTATAATTAATGAAAAGAACCAATATGACAATCAATAATGTAAATTTAAATTGTTTGTAACTTCATAAATAAACATCGATATTTTGTACATAAAAATATTTTTATATTTGTTTGACATCTTTAGAATTAACTTTGCAATAATGTTTCATAATATATTAATATCTTATACATATATTACACAATCATATCTTATACAAATATCTTAAAAAATATATTTATCTTGTTTAATTTGATAATGAATAAATTATTAAAATATTTACAATCAATGAAACTTAACAATATCTATCATTATAGCAATAAATTGTTCAATACACATAAGGAAATTAAATCATTCACAATTATTTAAAGACTAGTTTATTGATACTAATATCTACATATTATTTCATGTATGATTATTATTTAGATTTGTGCATGTGTTTTATATACTTTATGAAATTACATAATATGCTTCTTGTATTTAATTGTGTATTTAATTAATAATTCTTGTATTTAATCTTGTATTTAATTTAATTATACTTATATTGGACGGCACAATTCAATAAAAATGATAGTAATATTTTTATTTTTTACATTTCTACTAGATATAGAAGTTAGATTTTTACTTATGATTTTTCTTCTTGAAAATCGAGATAGGGATGAATATCAAGAGTGGATGAAATCATATTAACATCTATTTTTTCTGAGCACATTGGACATGTTTTCTCAGATTCAATGATCCTAATATGTCAAAATATAATACATAATACGAAATATAACTTTATATATGCATTATTTTAAAATAAGATATCATACATACCTTAAAAATTCACTTCTTATACAAGGAAAATCACATTGTGGACATACTGCAAAATCATCTTCAACAATATGTCGACCCTAAAAATTATCATGCTCAATTAAAAAAAATAAATAAAAAAATAAATAATAAATAAAAAATAATATATTAAATTTTAAGATAAATTAAATAACAATAACATCTAATAATATTTTAAAAAACACTAACTGTAGCTACACAAAAAGGTATTGTATTTTTACATTTGTCACAAGTAATTTCTGTCTCTGGAAGTTTACTTTTACAATATGGACATGGAGTTAAAGGTTCATCTTCAATTTCATTATCTTTTGATTTTGGTGGTTTTCTTACAATTGCTTCAATCTTTTTACTATACTTAGCATCAATTTGACTTCTGTATTCTGGACGCATCAACATAGCAGCATAATTAAATGCAGCATACTTTAATCCAGCTCTTTGACATTCTATTACAGTAGATGTTAAGATTGGAACAATATCTGAAGTAAAAAAGAAGATATATTAATAGATTATATTATTATTTTAAAATATATAAATATTTTTTTACTAACGTGATGGAAATTTTGATATATTATTGGCTACTCTTATTAACATACGAGCACCACGTAAATGATCATTTTTTTTTACATGAAGTCTAACAAGAATATAGGAATGTAAAAGTCTTAAATTATTTTGCATTTCTAAAGGTATATTAATCTTATTTTTTTTTAATTCTTGATACATGCCAAATAGAACATCATGAGCATTTCTATAATTTCCTATAAAATAAATTTATTTAGTTATTTAGTTTCAATATAAAAAATAAGAGGTTTTAATACAATAAAACAATAATATGAAATTGTGGAAAATTAAAGAAGTAAAAAACTTTATTTTCTGATTGTTGAAAAATTTCTAATATTTGGGAAAAAAAATAAAAATAAAAAAATTATCTAATATAGTATGATGATAAAAAACCATGAAAAAATTATTTTTAAAATATTTAAAATATAAAATTTACTATTAAACTGATAATAATCATAAATTAGTTAAAATAAAAAATAAATAAAATTAAAAATTAGTAAAATTTTGAAAACTTTAGCATTTTTAAAATTTTACTCCTTACAATTACAAATGATATATATATTATTTTGATATCATTTGATATCGCTATTATATATAATAATTTACAATTTATCATTGGAAATTATTATATAGAAATATTATATATAAAAGATACCATTAATTTGTTCTTCATTTGCAATTATAATTGCTGTTTTTGCAGCATCTTTATATTGTTTTCTAGCCATATATAATCGAAATAGATATTTAGGATCCTGTAACGAATATAAATAATCAACTATCAATCAAATTAATATATTATATATATTTTTACTAAAAAATAATACCTTTGGCAATCCATCTCCACCTAATAAAAAATCAATCAATTGATTTGCTAATTTATCATCTTTTGATGAAGCAACTGTATCAATAGCTAATGTAAGTACTTCATTTTCATCTGTTACCAATTGTACAGCTTTTAATAAATGTCGTAATGCTTTTTGATATTCTTTAGCATGGAAATAATATTTTCCAGCTAAAAAATTATTTTTTTGAGATTCAAAATGCATAGCAAGACTTTTGAAATCTTCTTTCCGTGAATTACTATCATCAATCGTATTTATTAAAATTTCTCCATATAATTCCATTTTTCCATGTTGGTTAGCTAATTGAAAAGCTTCTTCATGACAATTTGATAAAATTAAAAATTTAATTGCTGAATTATAATCATTCATCTTCTGAAAATATTTCGCGACCATTTTAGCTCCTTCTATACTTTTAGTTTGTTGTACTACTTCAACACTTCGAGCTAGAATTAAAAAGTTATATATAAATTCTAAATGATATTTAAAACATATATAATAATATTAATTATATTACCAGGATTGTTTAAATATTCCAAATTAATCCTAATTATGTTCTCGTAATCTTTTGCAATTTCATATGCCTTTGCTGCTTCTTCATATTTGCCTTCAGTTTCTTTGGCCTTAGCATATTGTATATTAATTTTAGCAGATGAAATTTGTGGTAAAAGCTGTCCCACTTTTGGCCAATTTTTTAATTTTATATATGCAGAAGCTGCTTTATCAAAATATTCAGCTTTTTCATATAATAAAGCTGCTTCATTAAATTGCTATAATAATAATTAATATATATATATGCTTGAAATATATATTTATAATCACATACCTTCATTGATTCTAATATTTCTGCACATTCTTTTCTTAACTGTCTTGAACTTTCATTATCCATAGCTATATTCACACCTCTTCTACTATCCCCACATCTGATTGACATTCTTGCAATTCCAGCAAGACATAGATTTCGATGATGAGGATTATATATAGTTGTATTATCTACATTATTTAAATCTACTAATCCACGTTCGTAATTTGTTAATGCTTTTGGATAATTACCCCTAAAAACATTTATATATTTCTTATCTATATATAGTAATAATAAAAAAAAAATGAATATAGAAATTAGTATTCAATTTTAAATACTAAACACAAATAATTTATAAATTTTATATTCTTACATAAACTCTAATTGTTGAGCATATTCTCTAGCAATATATGGAATTTCATCAGCTTTCAATTTTTGAGCTAAATTCAATGCCTGCTCCCATTGCATTAAATCTCTTCTCAAATATAAGGCTTGTACTGGTTCTGATGATTGTAAAAAAAATTGCTCTGCCTGATTGTAATTACCAAGTAAGATGCATGCATGTCCACATAATAATGGTAATTCATCTATAGTTTCCATGTTTTGTAATGCCCAAACCATTGCAACTTCTTCTAAATAGCGATAAATTCGAAGTGCTGTGATAGAAATGATTTAGAAATTAAATATATATATAATTTATATATTTCTTATTTGTATGTATAACGTAATAATAATAATAACGTAGTAATGATAATAACAAAGAAAAAACGAATACCGAAATCAATATTTAAATTTGCAATTGCATTTTCTCCTAATTTTAACCATGAATCTTTTTCATTAATTTTTTCACATGTGATCCATGCCTGTTCAAATCTGAAATACAATAGAATAAATATTCTATATTTAACAAATAAAAATATGATGTTTACCTTCTACAAAGAATTTGATTTTCTAATATTTCTTTCATTTTTGTATATTCTACAATATTTCCTATGTCTTCATGAGAAGATAATGTAATCTGCATTAATTTATTACTTGTTGAACTTAATGTCAGTTCTCCAGAATACATCAATAGCGGTAATGTTTCAGATGGTAGTTTTGTTGAGTTTATCTTTATAATTTTTATACCTATTTTCAAAAAATATATATTTGTATTTATATATTATGTGATTTTCAAATTTCAATTTACCTTCAATAAAATATTTTACAAATACATATGTAGTAATGACAGTTTTGTTATAAATAGCAAATATATTATGTTCCAAAATATTTTGATCCCAAATTAAACCTTGAATGCAGTCTAGACAATCAAGAATTTGTAAAACAGTTTCTTGCACAGGATTATAGATATAAACATCAAACTTATTATCTAAAAAACACAATTGTGTTCCATTTGTATCTAAATAAATTTCTTTTATACCATTATTGTGTATATGTTCAGTAGATTGACTAAAAATTTCTAGACAAAAATAAATTATGTGGCCCATCTAAATATATCATAAATACAAATTAATTTCAGAATTATTTATTTAAAATTTTATACATTTATATAAATAACTTACATCACTACCATAGATTAAAAAATCAGTACTGAGGGCATGGCACATTATTTTGTAATCTGAAGCATTTAAACTTGGGAACATTTTTGTATCTTTCCCTTCTTTTGTTAATGTTTGATCCATTTTAATCTACAAGAATAATATTTTAACATACACATGTAGTTAATTTATTAATATATCATAATATTAATTTGTATATATCTTAATATACTTGTTACCGAATGTAATTGTAATTTGCCATCAAATAAAACAGATGCATAAGTCTCATTCAATCGTATAGAATCTATTGTTGCTAAGTAATCTCTTTCAAAATGGATTGTAGTATTATAATTGATGCCTGATATGTCCCAGAATAATGCTCTATTATTTAAACCTACTGCTACATGCATAGGACCAATTGCTAATACTGATGGTTCTATTATAGTATTAATTATTATTGGTTCTGATTTCTCCTAAAAATTAATTTTAAATATTATAATTTTATAAATATAAATTTTTAATTTTTATGTGCATCTACCTTATCCAATGTATAAAGATAAATTGTAACTTCTGTTAAACTAGTAAGTAATGCAATTCTATTTCCATAAACGCTAAATAATCTAGGGATCTGTATTAAATAAACTAAAACATTTCCACTATAAGTCACAGTTGCTATCATTGTACCATCCATTGACCATTCTATTGTACTAATACCAGTTTCACCATTTATTGTAATCAATTTTTCAGTCTCTTCTAAATTTTGTAAATTATGTATTTTTATATTATTATCTCCACATGTAGCAATTTTTCCTATTACTTGACTTATAGCCAAATCAGTTAAGGAATCTTTATGATTCTTAACTTGAAATAATTCTTGGCCAACTTCTTTAATGTGAGTGGATATTGCAGTAAAATATCCAGTTTGAAAACCAACTAAAATATATCCATCCCCATACCTGAAATATAACATTTGGAATAAAAAAAGATAATTGATTTCTTAATAATTTAAATCTTACCATTTATAAGTAACAATAGGACCATAACGTTTTTGAAAAGCTAATTCAATAGGATTTTCTGGATCCAAAATATTATATAAAAATAAGGTAGTTTTACTAATAATAAGAGATACCTAGAAAACAAATAACAAAATAACACAAATTACACAGAAAATAAACACAGAAGTATGTGGTATTTTTATATATTATTAATTTATGAAAAAATCATACTGTGTTTTCACCCCCAACTCTGTGATCCATTTTCATTTCATTAAATTGAATATCAGATGCATCTCCTTGAAGAGGTATTTCACGTCTTGTATCTCCATCACTAGTACTAATAGTTAAAATCTTATCTTCACTGACCAATGCAAGAAGACCCTCATAAGACCAAGCACCACAAGTTATCTTTTTTTTGTGTTTTCCCAAAATTGGTATTCGTCTACATATTAATTCATTATTTAATATATATAAATATATAATAATATATAAGAGTATTCCATATAAAGAATCATAATAACATACTTTGAATTAATATGATCATAAAGTATTAAATTTCCTTTCTGTGTTCCTACTGCTAATAAACAAGTTCTTTTTGCCCATATCATACATGTTAATCCATCTCTTACACCAGCATCAATTTGTGTTTTTTTTCCAGTTGTTGCATCCCATAATATAATAGCAGATGAATTTTGAGATATAATAGCCAATAGATCTCCATCAGAATCCCATCCAAAACCAGTACAAAGACCAGCAATTTGAATACGTTCTTGTAAATCACCTTGTCTATCAAAAATAGCAACTGAGGAATCATAACCAGTAGTTGCTAAATGAGTACTATTACCAGGACGCCATGAAATGTAGACAGTACCAGAACCATGAGGTTGATATAATTGATAAAGAACCTGTACCAAAATATTTGACAAATATAATTATGAATAAAATAAATACTGATCAATATATTTTGAATAGATAAACATTTTCTTTATTATAATCTTTAAATATTTTTTATTATAATTAAAATTTTAAATGCTATAATTCAATAAACAAAAAAATTGTAGTCTTCTTAATAATAAATATATTAACCTACCTTCTCAGTCGACATTTTTGAAATTAAATAGTTTGGTGTTATAATCAAGAGAGCTAAACAGACTAATTGCCCAATAATATATATATAAGAACAGTTTGATGCCTCATAGTTAAAAGATTAATTTATTAAATGATATATTTTACATGTAACTTTATATTTCTTTTACTCGCCATGTTGTTTATATTTCGCTAAGCTTGATCAATTTAAAATTGTGTTAATTGTGTATACAATTGTTGCCATGGATATTAATAACTAGTATCGCATTTTATAATTTAATATTTATTTTCCTTTGTAGAGAAGTGTACGATATTTTATTGCTATATATATATATATATATATANTATATATATATATATATATATACAGCTATAAATAAATTAGAAATAAAATTTACAAATAAAAAAACAAATGTAATAAATATATAAGTGAGGTTCATTAAAATATGCCATTATTATTTGAACATGATCGATTATTATTTATCATCAAAAAATTGCACGTATTTTGCAACTCGTGATACAATATAATACAAAGATATGAATTTGCAAGATGATAAGTAAGGTTAAGAAAAAATAAATGGGTGAATGATTAAAATAAGTATATGCAAAAAAAATATGATTTAAAATTGAATTTAAATTGCATTCTTTCATGTCTAAAATGATAAAATATTTTGTAAATAAATGTATATACATGTTTTTGGATATTAAATGTATATACATATCAGGTATGTATGTAATTACATTAATACTTTATCGGTAATATCCATCAAAACATTATGTGATGATGATTATATCGAAAGGTTAAAATTTTAAATTTATTATTTTTAATAAATAAATTGAAACTATTGCAATATATTCGTTGTATCTGGATAACAAATGTTTATTCAGCTATCCAGGTTTATAAATTCATTTTTAGTTTTTTTCAATAATTTTTAAAATGTTTATATTTTGTTCACCATTAATAATGAACTCATACTGTTTTTGTTTAGGAAAAAATAATTATACAAGTATTGCTACGTAATTTTTGTTTCGAAATAAGCTATAAAACATTTTATCGTCTTACGTAACGAGATAAAAGTTGTTTAGTAACAAATTCTAGGGATATAGATAAACGAATATTATATCTTTTGAATAATTTTGCGCGAACTTGAAGCATTTTAAAGTGTAGAATAATCATATTATTCAAATATTATTCAAACAAATTTGATAAAGCGACGAAAACAAATAGTTTCAAAAATAGAACATTACAAAGAGTTGATGTGATATATAAATGTTATTTGTCGTGAAATGGATGTTAATTCTTCAATATATCATATAATTGATATATGATATCAATAATATATCAAATAAATTTTGATATATTACACATTTGGCAAGAATATTATAATTATTGGGTCATCTTGAAAATTTTTTCAAATTTTAAACAGTTTAATTTTTAAGAACATTATTCTACTGAATTTATTTTTTTTATTTTTTTTTCTTGATTTCAAAAAATTATGAAAAAATATTGAAATGTTTTTGAAATGATTTTAAACGATTATGAGATGTATGTAATCTTAATGAATGTTGTAAAAATAAATCATGAATGACTTTTGAATAATTGTAAGGAATATATTTGCAAACAATACCATTTTAAAAACATATTCAGCAGAATTATGTTTTTTTAAACGAATAGTTCAAAACTATATATGAACTTTGGAAAATATAAGATTCAATATATAAGATATACCATTTTTGCATGACACAGTATTTATATCTTTTAACTTTTGTATTTCCTTTTAAAAAAGTTTGCGTGCACGAAAAAATTAGTGTAATCGACAATGCTATTTGCTTAAGATCGCAAACAAAGATAAAATTGTATTCTTGAAACGTTTTATTATTACACGAGCCGTTGTAATGCGTACAATATTGCTTTACTGATCCGAATCAACCAGTCGATCAATCAGTTTTTGAAACGATATACACGCATCAGCGATTTTTCGTTTTTATCGATCGAAAACAAACAATAAAATATTTAAGGAACATTTAATACTTATCTTTAATATGATTTTCTTCGACTCAAAACTGTTTCATTCATGCTTCAACAAGCATGCATTGACTTAACATCATACTTCACTGTTTGTATATGAATATGATTTAACTTGAAAAGGCATAAAAACAATAATTAGGAAGGACGTTGCTTTCATGGATATCGCTTAAATCTATCGCGGTGATCATAAAAGTGATGATAATAATCGTTCCATCGTTATAGATATTTAATACGTAGCAATGTTGTTCAGTATATATATATACACTATGTAGCAGTGTCGCCGAGAGACGCGAGATTTTTTTTCTTTATTTCTTTCCTTATTGCCGATTGATTATTATATACTATATACAGGATAAATCAATACAGGTTGTTCGATTAAAAAAGAAGAATTAATTTTTGATTTTCTTCATTAAGAAATTGTTCAATCGAGGAACATTGCGTTTTCTTCTTTTGTGAATAAATACAATAGATATTATTTTTACCGAAGGAAATATATATCATAACGTGTTACATCTCGCGACTCTTAGGAGCCTGATTCAAATGGAAGGAATACGATCTATCTTACAAGCTGAATAATGTTGGTGCGTTAACGTAGTACAGTGCGCCTCTATTAACGCGATTACGAGCTTAGAGATAAATTCATACTCGTCGTAATGCTATTATTCGTTATTACAAACTAGAAACAATTTCTAATGACTTTGTGAATAGAACTTTTTAATTAGGCTCTTGAGCAGTCTAAACACGAGAGAAACAAAATGAACTCAATTTCGCGCGCGCGCGTTTTATTTTAGTTAACCCATTAATTCGGCATCTTTAATTATTTTTTTGCATCGATGCAAAATCGAATTCATGTTATGCTATTTCCGTTATATATATATATATAAAAAAAAAAAAAAAAAAAAAAAAAAAAAAATGAATTTCGATTAGCAGCACCGATTCATGTCTTAACACGATTTGATATTTCGATGCATTGTTTTTCGAAAAAATGCCTTTTTTTTTTATTTTGTTTCTTTATGCGATGGAATGAGAGAAGTTGATGGCGTTTAAGGATAAAGATCGTTACATGTAAAAGTATTAAACACGCGTCGTACTTCGTTAGAAATATGAAAAACAAACCGATATACGCTATACATTCATTCTCTACGTTTCTTACATACACACGCGCACTACATTCGCATCATGCACACGCATCTCATAGAACTATTCTTACTTTTTTGTTTTTTTATTTCTATGTCTCTGCCTCTCTCTCTCTCTCTCTCTCTCTCTCTCTCTCTCCCCCTCCCTCCCTTCCTCTCTCTCTCTCTCTCTCTGTTGCTCGCATACTTTCTTTTTTGTCTCTAATTACGAACTACAGTATGGTATATAGATCTTTTTTTCTCTCGTTCACCTCTTAGGCCATTCCACGAGACATTTATAATATTTTGACATTTACGAATGTGGTTCTATATCGTTTCGCAAGTAGAAAGCATTGCACGCACGACTTTTTAAATCTAACGTATCTGCGGTTCGTACAATTCATATTCTAAGTTTTACGGTAAAAATTCACTGAATACATCGTTCACTTGACTACCACAGGACCCTTGACCGGAGCACCACCAAACGGCGCTCGATCGAAGTATAGATAGTTGCGATAGAGACGACGCGCGCATTTGTTTTTTCTTAAAAAACTGCCCCTTCCCCACATGGGAAATATTATATCGGTGAAAAAATGTATTGCAAATAATCGCATTATTACGTTATAGGTTTTCGTTTAATCGTTCGGCCGAATGACGGAACAGATGATATTCAGGATTCATGGCGCTGTGTGCACAATTATCTCGGATGGAGAAAAAGGTTAATTACGGAAAGATTAAATTGACTCTGACAGATCGTGATCGAACAACGTGATCACACGACCCGAACGCGTCCGTTCATCGGCGATCGTTCGCGACTATTCTTCCTCACTGATTATGCAATCGTCCACCGGAAGCTTTTACTTGATTGTTGGTAACTTTCGGTATCGCCCCGATGATCTTAACGCGATTCTGTTGCTGTTGCGGTTGTTGTTGTTGTTGTTGTTGTTGTTGCGCTTGTTGTTTGTTGTCGCAGAATTGAGGTGGCGGTGCAAATACCAATTCGTCCCCATTCCCGGCAGACGGTCCCGCATTGAACTCAGGTGGCGGTGGTACGAACAGATCGTTGCTCTGTTCCTCGGCATCCGCCTCGATCGGTGGTGGTAATTGGGCCAAGCTGACTGCGTGCCGCGTCAATAATCCGCTGCCACCGTAGCCCGTTCTTTTCGGATTGGCCTCTTTTTCGACACTGGCCACATTGGAGAGCACCGTGGTCGGATGCTGGGCAGCTTCGTTGGCAAGATTTCTCGCTGTCGTGTCGTCGAAACCCGTCGGTGGACCTACCGGCACGTCTTGATCGGAGCTCACTCCACTCGAGCTATTGTCACCATCCTCGGCCAGGGATTGCTGCGTTTGTTGGAGCAGAAAGTCGTTCGGATGACTTTTCGAAGACTTCAATTGCGTCCTCACCTTTTGAATCTCTTCCACGCTGAAAGAGTGGGGCAACGAGCTGCTACCGGATGAACTGGAACCGGAAGTGTTCGAGTTGCCCGACGTTTCTCGAGTCGATTCCAACTTTTCCCTCGCAGCCGCCTTCTCCAATTCCTTGGCGATCTCCGACTCTCCGTCGTCGTCGGTCTCCTCCTCGCCCTCGTCGTTCTCCGACTCGGAGAGGCTGTAATCCGGCTCTGGGATCGGTGGTGCCGTGTTCGCCGCCACCACCGTGTTCCCGGTGTTGTTGTTAGCCACGGACGAGAGATTCGTGATCGAGGAACTGGTACTGATGCCTTTCTTCTTTCTCTCCCTGATGCCGATCGTGCTGTGACTTCTATTCGTCTTCAATGGTTGGGCGTATTGGTTGTTGGCCGACTGATTGTTGTTCACTTGGTTGTTGTTGCTCACCGCGTTGTTCACGTTCTGTTGGTTGTTCAACGGTTTGAACGTCGTGTTGTTGGTGGTGCGCAAGCTGTGCGACTTCCTCACGTGACAACGGGTCGTATGGGTTGGCAGGCTACGGGAACGATACCCCACAGTCTTCATGTCTTCCGGCGAGGCGTACAGTTTTGCGCTGTTCGAAGGTCGGAAACTCGACATCACGCCGTAACTTCCATCCACTGTCGCGGCTGCCAATTCTGAATAGAGCGGGAAAAAATACATATTATTATCCATCCATTGAAATTTATTCCAGATAAATAACGCCCGATTCGGTCAACAACGCGTCGAAATACGTGTGGAAGATATGTATGTATATATATATATATATATATGTTTATATATATATACACCTTTGACTTGTTGTATATGAGCCATGTTATCGTAGACAGAAGCCGGTGTGACTACATCCGGCACATTAGCGCCCACGTTTACTTTGACTACTTGGCCGACAGGTGGCGGAGGTGGTGGATGATTCGGTGGTGGAAGTCCGTTTCTTCCATTCAACGCGTTCACGTCCTCTTGGCTTCTATGCCCTTTCGGAGCTAAAATGGACGACTGCACCTGCACATTCAAGTCCGGCGTACTGTGAAAGTCTCGATGAAGATCGGAACCACCGCCCAATCCACCGAAGAATCGCACCCTCGAGTTCAACTGTGAACAAGCCGACAAATCTTATTGGAATTTACAACTCGTCGATAGAGAGAAGAAGAGCGTTCAACGAAACGGAAACAATAGCTGGATACATTAGCTGGATACACTACACTGCGACGAGTAACGCGATATTCGAGAATCGCGTTTAATAATCGAGATACTTATGTACACGTTTTCAATTGACGCGATTTAATTTCGTAAAAGCGGCAACACAAAAAGCAGGTAGGTTGGTAACTCGATCATCGTATCAACATGTGTCTATTTACACGCGATACTTTTCTCTCTTGTCTATCTGGTTCGTCTATCCTTTTTTACATTTTTTTTCGAGACGTCGAACAGCGCTGTATTCCGCCGGTATTTAAAACTCGCGACGATTTAAGACGCAAAATGGAAAATCGGTTTATTAAGCGCGTAAGGTTCGATTATACGGGGGAAACAGCTGCACGATCATGCAAAAAGTGTAAGCAAAGTAATTAAAACGTTCATTTCATGGATACACGTGGTTAGTTCTGCGAGGCGTGTTCATAAAGCTGAAAGTGATATCCGATGCCCTTTCGAACATCGGATTTTCATTAGCAAATGGCTTAGTCACCTGGAATCATGCAAGTCACGGACGCGCTAGAAACAAAGTATTTTCGATCAGTAATATAAGTCGTCCTCGTTGTCTCTCTCGTACCAGGAGCGTCCCTTGCTGTACACTCGTGCTGGCTTGCGAGAAAACTATAACACACATGCGTAAAAACAGCCACCGTCACCGCTAGGTAGCATGCATCGAGGAGTTTTAACCTCTCTGAAAAAATTCTTTGTAACTCTTGCGTCCTATATATATAAAGTGATAACGTTTAAACGATAAAGGATGGAAGGGTTAGCGATTAATCAAATGGCAAAAGATAATTCTACGAATATGAGGGTTATCAACAACCAACGAATCTACCGTTAGGTTAATATCACGAGAGGGGGGCGGGTGATTAAAGTTGCAATCGAAGTTCGAAGAGACAGTTTGCCGATTCTAAGGATTTTCCCGATTCGAAAGCGACATTATCTTGCATCCTTAGAAAAGGCAACGGAACGGAGCGAAATTCGTTCAAATTCTACAGCGATTACACCAAATCTACACCACGTTCGTACGATCGAAGAAAAATCATCGTAACCAAGGATTCGCTAAATTTCGGTCGAAAAGAAAGAAGATATGCGATTTAAATTTGGAGGGGAAGTATTCCTTACTTTGCCTTTGCGTTTCATTTCCGCTACGCTCGCGTATACCCTGCCGGTCTTTGCAGGCGAGGAAGGATGCGACTTGGTAGCTTGGCCAGTTTGAAAGTGAGAGCTCATCATGGACGAGCTGTACTGACCACTGGCACTACCTTGCTGCCGCTGAAATAGTTCCTGGAAGAAAGGAAGGACAAAGCTGAAGCCTCGGTAAATCTCGTGCAATCTGCCATTCGAGGAATAGTAAAGGAAAGCGGATCGATCGTTCGTGATCGCGAGCAACGTGATAAAATCGATTCCCTCATACGTACGCACCTCCAGTTCCGCGGCGGTGATCCTACTGGAGGTGGGCCTCGATCGGATACTGGCCGTTCTCGGTTGTACCGGTGTGTTTTGTCCGGTGTTGGGTCCGGTCGACGGTTGCTGGGGAAGATGGATAGACTCCGCGCTACTCGATTTAGCCCCCGTCGATGTGATTTCATCGCGGTCGTCTCTCTCCCCACCACCTTCTGCGCCCCACGAGAAAAAGTCGTTTTATCATCCGACCTTCTTCGTCGAATCCTCCTTTCGACTCGATTTCCAGTTTTTCTTTTCTTTTTTTAATTTTTCTTACCTAATCCAGCCACCATCGATCTTGCTCGCGCCCGGCCAACGCTCAGAGTCGTCTTTGGATCTCTTCGGGGCGGCATTGGGGCCGGTGACCTGCCCAGCGTGCCGCCTATCGCCACGTTGTTGTTACCTTTCCGCGGGAGGGTCGCGTACTGTCTCTGAATCGGTTGACTAGTTGGCAGAAGCGCTGCCGATTGCGAATTCGGAAGGCTGATCACCGGCGAGACCACCGTCATTCGTACCAACTCCCCCGATTTTCGTATCAGGTCCACTACGTGCTCGTGCGACGCCGTTGTCACGTCCTCGCCGTTGATCTGCGAATCGAGGTATCGAGAAGTGGAAATATATATATATATTATATATATAGAATTATAAATATATAAATATTATTAGTATATATAATATAGAATATGTATATATATGCATATATATATAGAATTATAAATATATAAATATTATTAGTATATATAACATAGAATATGTATATCTGTAATTCTATATATATAATATAATATAATATAATATAATATAACATATATATATATCTATAATTCTATATATGTAATATACATAATATATATATAATTCTATATATATAATATATATAATATATATAGAATTATAAATATATAAATATTATTAGTATATATAATATAGAATATGTATATCTGTAATTCTATATATATAATATATATATATATCTATAATTCTATATATATAATATACATAATATATATATATAATTCTATATATAATATATATATATATATATAGAAAGGAAGGCATGGCTCACTTGGATAAGGTAATCCCCTTTTCGAAGGCCGGCCAGATCCGCCACTCCTCCTTGATCGACGTCGTCCAGGTACTGCAAGGCAGGGTATCTGGCCGATGGCGTCAGCTCCATCAAAGGCGAGGTTGCCTTGGCGCCTCTTAACACGAATCCGAAACCCTTTCTGGAACGATGCAGCACCACGGTACGAGGCTCGGACGTAACTCTGGAGAAAAATCTGGGATAATTATTCGTTCCTATTCGAGAACATATTCGTTTATTCTTATTGCAAAGAGGTGTAACACAAACGACTCACGGTTTCTTCAATCTGGGAGCGGTAGCGAAATACTTGTGTTGCGATTCCCTACGACCCAACACCCTTGGATTGCGGCCGTCCCTCGCTGGCTGAGGACCCAACGGAATGTTGGTGTGGCGAAGCCTGACCTCTTGCACGCAGTGGGCCGGGAAGAGGCCCGTCCCCTGTCCACGGAGAACACCCTCGAGAAGGCCGCAATCGGTCGCCCCGGTCACTGTCCAAATCGCAGAAAGAAACGAACACCGATAGAACACCCTCTTCCCTTCCCCCTTTTTTTTCTATCGTTTATCGAATTTACACGAGTTCCCTCGTAAAAAAGAGAAATCAACGATCGCTCGTTTTTCCTTTCTTTATCGGCTACTCGATACTCGAGATACTGTGAAGGACGAAGGTGGAAATGGAGAGGCGGTTAGGGGAACTCGTAGAGAGAAGATAATAATCGGTGTCAAATACCTTCCAAGATATCTCCTTGATTGATATTCAGATGGCCTAGTATCCCGCTGTTATAACTCTCGACGCAGACAACCGTGGTCCCCGGTATCGATAGGGAATTGGTAGTGTCCGACTGCGAGGTCCCCACCCCTGAACTATCGCTAATCACGTCGGAAGCTGTGTCGCCGAGACTCTTGTCTAAAAAAAAATTCACGGAACAAGGGTGGTCTTGTTGAAATCTCGCCATTTTACCGTGTGCCTTTTCACAGCGGCGAACGTCATGCAAACGCTATATATATATATATATAAATATTATTAGTATAGTTATATATATATACTCTTAACGGGGTATAAACACAAGATGGGCTTGAGCTTTTTAGCTCAACGGTATCCGCCTTTCTTTCTTTTCTCTTTTGTAAAATTGCCCAAATAAATATATACGTGGTGGAGAGAGTCGGCTGGAATGTCCAGGTTATGCTACGTTAGCAAAGGCACAGAGCTGTGTATCTCTTAATTCGTCAATAAGAACGAGAGAAACGGTGCAGCAACGCGGCTTACCATTTCTGATGGTGATGATGGTTCGACGTTCGAGTCACGCCAAATATACAAATTGTACACCTGTTTCGCTTTCTCTCTCTCTCTCTCTCTCTCTCTCTCTCTCTCTCTCTCTCTTTCTCACAGCGTCGCACAAGGGGGCTCACGCCTATGCTCACGCGTTATGCTTCGTGTCCCAAACGCACGTACGAGGATCTCTCTCGAGAGGGGAAAGAAAAATCTTCAACGACGAAGGGTGTGCGCGATTCCGCAAGAAGAACGCATTCTCTCTCTCTCTCTCTCTCTCTCTCTCTCTCCCTCTCCGTGTGTATTCTCTGTAGGCGCGACAGACAGACAGACATACAAAGGAAGAGAGAGAGAGAGAGAGAGAACGTGGAAAAATAAACCTGGTATGCGTATGTATTTATGTATACCTGTGACGATGCTGGCGGAATCTTCACCGGACGGTTGATTGCTGCCTTCGGACAGGCTCGAGCTGGCCGAGCTGAAAGGAGCTAGACTCCTGCTGCTCGGCGAGGGCGAGGGCGGCATCTCCATCGTTCTGTGCATGTCGAGACGGTGTTGAAGCTCGAGCCGGTGTTCTTGCAGCCTCGTCAGACCCTCCATTCTTACGTTCTGATAGTTCTCCGCGGTGGTCGGTAATCTTGAAATGGAGCGTATTACACTTCGTATAATACCGTCGAACGTGACTGAACACGATACTCGATACGCGATACACGATACTAAATCTCGCGAGATTAGCGTAAATTGTCTTTGCTTTAAACGCGCGTATCTCCCCTCCCTCCCTCCCTCCCTCCCTCCCTTCCTCCCTCCCCCTATCCAACAATCGATCCAAACAATTTTTCTCGGAGATTAATGTCGGGAGAGGAGGGAAATATATATATATATATATATAAAATAAGTACGTGGGGATCATGGATATATCTCGACCTTGAAGATCGACGGAACTTAGATACTTAAATTTAGGAAGGGATAAGGGACAAGAGAGAAAAAGAAGATCCCGATTTTATTGACCGAGTTGTTTGATCGCAAAGACAGTTTATGCTTACCTCGCGTTAGGATCCCTCAGCGAGTTCGGGCTCTGGTAATCCGAGGACGGTATTCTCTGTATCTGGTCGTTTCTGGTCGTCGGTTCGATGGACGGTACTCGGGCGTGATGATGATGATGAGGAGTGTCCCCCGCCGTCCTCGCGATACTGTTCGCGTACTGCTCGGCGGACGGTATTCTGGTGAGGGTGCCGGTCGGGTATTGCTCGGTGGACGGCACTCTGGTAAGCGTACCGGTGGCGCTCGTTGGGTATTGATGATGGTGATGGTGGTGGTGATGGTGGTGGTGATCCCCCGTGGACAGCCTGGTCACTGCGTTGGCGGAGGCGGTCGCTATAGGGCTGGCGTATTGTTCCGTGGACGGTACTACTCTGGTCGCGTATTGCTCGGCGGACGGTACCCTCGTCACCGCGTACTGCTCCACCGAGATCGTTCTGGTCAGGCTACCTCCTCCTCCTCCTACTCCTGCTGTTCCGCCAGAGGCGTGTTGCTGTTGTTCAGCGGACGGTATCCTGGTCAGGGTGCCCAGGTTGCTGGCCGAGCAGCTAGTGGTCATCGTGCCTCCGAACGCCACCGAGCGCCGTTTCGGGTTGTAGCGTGGCGGCCCTTTAAACGGTACTGGAAAATCGAGGGTTGCAAGGTTAAGTAAAGAAAGGATTACTTAGCCTTACAATTAGACGCCGCTCTCCCAACGCGTGTGTTCGTTTTCTTTCTCTCTCTTTCTTTCCCTATTCGCTCGCGAGTTCGAAACTGTGTGCGTGTGTATGTATATATGAGATATATATATGAGAAATAGTGAATTTTTGCCAAAAAAAAGTTTGCTCTCGCTCGCTCTCTCTCTCTCTCTTTCTCGTCTCTTTTTCGTCGTTACAAGCGTTACTGGCGGATTTAGGCACGCATACACGCATACACGCACGCGTATTGTTAACAAATTGTTAAACTCGACGATCGAACGGCGTTATAATAAAACGTGGTTAGTTATACAAGAAAGCGGTGAGAAGCACACGCAGCAGTCACGCATTCCACGGGATATTGTTGTTGTATATTGTATACGTTTTGCACGATACAATGATACAGTGATTGTTGACGAAGGCGAAAAGTGATTAAAAACCGAGTCGTTCAATTTCGGCGCTTTTTTCGGGTGATCGAGTTCACCTTCGAACGGACCTTTGAATTTCTCTTCTTCCTCGCGCTCTTTTATTTTCATTTGTGCGCGCGTCGAGAGATACTTCAACGGGCCGAGTCGATCACGCGTTACACACAAAGTAAAGTACTACCAAACATTACTGGTCAACTTGTCCCGCCACTTCGATGCTGACGGATTTTCGTCATGCTCTTTTTTTCTCTCTTCCATTTTTAATCGATATTTATCGAGGTTTTCGAAGGGAAATCCGTGAGCAGCAAAGTCGTCGACGAGATCGAGATATACGGGCGGCATCGTTAGTATTAGTTACTCAAAAGCGATCAAACTTTAGTCGTTTTATATATATATATATATATATGTATGTATCATATAAGTATACAAATGCTCGATGCTCGACGTCTTACAAGACCATCACCACCAAAGATCCCATCAGACAATTGTTACAATTTTACGGTACTTTTGTCATACAGCACAGAGACACAGAAACACGCACAATTACATATAGATTATACGTATACGTAAATATATATATCTTTCGTATATTATATATTTACACCATATTTGGACTATAGTCTACGATTATATACTATCTACTCCTCGCTACGTTAACTAGCAAGCGCTGAAGCGTGTTGTCTTGTTGGAAAGATGAAAGGAAAGAGAAGGAGAGAAAAAAAAAAAGAAAGAAAGAAAGAAAGAAAGAAGCATTCTATACAATTCGATGTTACATGCACATGCCAATGTTAAGATTCGTGACGTGCTCTATATATATATATATTTAAAAATTTTTCCGAACGATCCAAGTTATCGTTTCATCGGATATAACGCGTTCCTCGTGCCATCTCTTAACCTTCGCCGCGAAACCATTCGTCTCGCCGATTCCGTCTCGGGCCCGTTACCGATCGATACCAACGATATCGTCTTTATCGATCTCCCTTTACACTTATTTCTTGCTCCTCGCCAATTTCCCGGGAAAATCGATCGTCGCCTAAACGCGATCTAATCGGATTGGACTCGAACGATCGGGGGAAGCTCGAGACACGAAAGAAGAAAAAAAAAAAAAAAAATGTATCCATCCATCCACGATCGCGAGAGGTCAATTCTTTTTCTTTTCTCGTGGAAAAAAAAGGAAACTCGCGCTCAGTCAATTTCTCCTTCACCTATCATCTCATCGTTGATAATCTCGCCCCCTCGTCAACTCACCAACTTCTTCCGGCTGATAATTCTTAATGACCTCGGCCAGCTCCATGTTTCCAGCGATCACCGCTACCTGGTAGGGCGTCTGGTTCGCGTAATTCAGGCTGTCCTTCTGCGCGCCTCTGAACAGCAACTGGCGTATGCACGACGAGTCCGTGTTGTTCACAGCGCAAACGTGCAACGGCGTGTTGCCGGACGCGTTACGCGCGTTCATGTCGGCACCGTAAAAAAGCAAGTGATCCAGGTGTTGGACCAAGTTGTTGCGGCAGGCCTGCGAACACGCGAGGGGGGGAAGGTTATCGCGTTATCGATTATCGAAGTGCGGATGTGCGATTATAATTATAAAACCGCGCAAACCCTCTCTCTCTCTCTCTCTCTCTCTCTCTCTCTCTCTCTCTCTCTCTCTCTCTCTTTCTCTCTCTCTCTCTGTCCTTCAAACCTTCTCCTCCTCCTTAATCCCTCCTTTTTTTCGAACAAGGGGAGAGTGCAGACGCGTCAGTCTGAGTTATTGGAAAAAAAAAGAAAGGGGGGGAGAGAGAGAGAGAGAGGAGGGTGAAAAGGTGAAAAGCGAGACCTGATGCACTTCCTGCCATCCCTGCAAATCCTGGGCGCCTATCGTCGCGTGGTCGTGGAGCAACGTTTCGCACAGCATCGGATCGGTTTTGTAGATGACGCTGTAGTAGAGCGGCGTTAGCCCCTTCGTGTCCTTGTAATTGGGGCTTGCGCCGAGCTCGAGTAACGTCTTCACAGCTTCCAAACTGTTCCGCTCGACGGCGCGATGCATCGCCGTCAGGCCCTCCTTCGTTCGATAATCCAGCAACGCGCCACCGTTCACCAAGGCTATTATCACCTTCGAGGGTTTCTTCAACGTGGTGGCCAAGGTGAGGGGAGTCTCTGCGAACGATTTATTATGTCTTCGTTGTATTCTAATCAGAATCGTACGATTCTCAACAGATAGGGAAAAGGTTGAATTCGTGAAAAAATTTTGCGTAAATGAGATAAATTTTTTTTTTTTTTTTTTTTTGAGAAAGATAAGAAAAGGTAAGAATTTTTTTTTTTACCTCCAGTTTCCTGGCAGTGGAAATTAGGATCCAGACCCTTGCTGCACATCTTGGCGATCTTCTCGACCTGGCTGTTTGCCACGTACTCGAGCAACCTTCGCAAATTCGTCCTCGTGTGCATCGCCTTCAACTGTTTTTCATCCAGGTGCAGCATCTTGTAGACCCGTCTTTTGTACTTGAGCTGCGAATTAAAAATGGGATCGTGGCGTAGGCTCTTTGATCATCGTGACATTACGGACGATAGAGATACGATAGAACATATACACAGGTGGAATACCTGACCTCCTTCCCATTTACACGTGGCATTTATATAAGTCGCATGTATGAATTTTTCTATATTACTTTACACGTTTTGAATATTTTTATTCGAAGATTTTTAAAAAGAAAGGCGAGTACAAGTATAAAAAGCGATATATATATATATATATATATATATTAGATTTCCATAATTAGAATTAAATAAGATTACGAAAAAGATGAAAAATTACAGGGAAATTTTGGTCAAATGTGCGTTGATATTTCCTATGAAAAAGTATTTAAGAAAAAAAAAAAAGATTCCCCTCCTCCAAGAGAAAAAATATACCAACATTTCACGCCTCTCCCGAAATCGTTCAACTTTTATCTGAAAATTTATTTTTCGCCACGGAGGGAAACGCTTGACGTAAATCAAGATTTAATGTCACGTGAAACGTTCTATACGCAAAAAAAGAAAAAAAAAAGAAAAAAAAATCGCAGAGTACAGCGTACACACTCTCCATTTATTTTCGAAGTGGGCGTTTCGATACGAAGTCTCGTGAAATGCCACGAGTCTAACCCTTCCTGCACACCCACCTAATAGAGAGTCCGATGGGAAGAGAAGAGAAGCTCATTTTTCCCCCGACTCACCGACCCACGAGAAACATACCGTATAGAAGGGCAAAACGTGTATATATATATATATATAAAATTATCCCGGTTTAATGAGGGATTCGCCGTGTCGCTTCTCGGTGGCGTTACATCTTCTTCTTTGTAATTATCGGAGGCGTCGTGGTTCGAAGCGTTAGATTACCGACGGATAGGCAATATTGCCTGCGCTAATGACTACCGTTACCACCAATTATGATTATCCACGGGATCCGGAGTCGCGATGTAAATTAGAGACAGGACGAAAGATTTCTCGTCCCTTATCGGCCGTGACCAACACCTCGCTCTTTTTACGCAACTCGGTCGGTCGGTCGGTCGTTAACTCGTTCCCCCGCGCACGAGAGAAGCCCGACGACGCGATGCGAACTCTGACTCTTGGCGAGCAAAGAGAATCGTCGGATACCAAGGTGATCTCGGTAATACTCTCGGCTTAACGGTGGTGTTGAGAGAGGGGCATCACGGGACGCGTATCCTTCCTATTTTCCGCGCGATGGAAGAACCGTGGATGGCTCCGTGACTCGAACCGTCGCTCGCCCGATCACGTTATTACGAAGGCAACGGTTCTCATCATCGCGACGGGCGATTTTCGCAGCGTGCGTTTAATCACGTTTTGCTTCTCAGCTCGATAATAGCGTGTAATCGGTCGCTTTGACGAGGAGTTCGTTTGAAGAAGGACTTCTCGTTAATTGCCTCGCTTTTCGAAGTATCGAGAAATCTGAAACAGCGTGGTTCGTTCGTAAACGGATCGAAATCGAATCGTTTCTCGAGGAAGCGAAAATTACGTAAAAGTCGGGTAGGAGGCGCGACGAGTCGGCTCGATCGACGGAGCTCCGTGTGCGCGTGCGCGTGTTCGAGATAAGGAAAAAAGGTAGGCGGCGTGGCGAATAGCGACGGTACCGAATACCGCGTGATCTATGGCTCCCCGTCCAACCTCGCGTTTTATTTATTTCTATCCGCGTTCCGAGTGCGATATTGGCCGCGACTCCGGACGAAAAAATAAGGGAAAAAAAGGAAAAAAAAAGAAAGAAAAAGAAAAGTGAAACAAGCGTTGCGTACACACCGTGCACACCGTCTTCGAACGTTCCCACTTTATCTACATCATCCGGCTCGACGTTGAAATATTTCGCGAAACGGTAGAGGTGAAAATTGAGCCGCGAGTGGCTCAAGGCCGTGCCCCTTGGAAAGAGAAAAAGGAAAAAATCTCGAGGTCATCTCTTTCGCGCGGCGAAAAAAAAACTCTCACCGTTTAATTAACGTCGGATAGAGGAGGCCGATTAATTATGCAACGATCAAAGGAGCAGAGGTGATAGTAGATGCGCTTCCTCCCTCGACGAATGCACGCGTCACACACATACCATTGCCAATTTCCTCCTCGATCACGACGTGTATCCATCGCGGAACGAAACGAAGAGAAATCGGAAATCTCCAAGATGGAAGAGTTTGCGATGCGACTCAACTTATCCTAGAAAGTGAATCCCCGTGGCGAGACCGTGCCATCGACACTGAACCCGATCGCGTCAACGGAGATCAAGAAAGCAAGAAGAGGAGGAGGAGGAGGAGGAAGAGGAAGAAAAAGAGGAAGAAGAAGAAAAAGAAGAGGAACGCCAACACCGAGATGAGCACTAGATCCGGTTACGCAAGAAAACCGCGGGCAAGATCCAGATCTCGTTAACCGACCGAGGGATTATTTGTTTTTCCCAGGTTTCAACAGTCATCGTCCCTCGTGCATCGACTTCCCTCCACGAAAAATCTCCTGACGCGACATCCTTATCCATCGAGATCCTCTTGGAAATCCCATTCCCATTCCCATTTCTGCAGTTTTCATTTCCCCCCGTTCCAGAAACTCCACACTCCCCCCTCCCCTTTTTTCTTTATTCCACTTCGTTCACTTTCTCGCCGTGGATCCTCGGCTGGCGCTCTTAGGCGGAAGGAGAGGTGGTGGGGGTAAAAGTAAGCGCTCGGAAAAAAATAGCCACGCGGACCCTCCTTGACCCGCGCGCCGCGCAAAAAAAAAGGAGGGAGAGATAAAGAGAGAGTTCTCGAGCAAACTCCTCGATACTGAAGAGTCGCGCGGCCCCCTTCCCCTTTCTTCCCTTTGAGGCAACCTTTTCGCCCGCGTCAATGCCTCCCTCCTCGTAGCCAGCCTCGTTTAAACCTTCGCCTCCCTCTCCCGCTTATTATCCCTCCTCGACAGTGGCGAGGTCAGGGAAAATGAAAATTCGTATCGACCCATTAAGGCGAGAGATTTCCTTGGAAATCTTTGTTGATCGATGGAAAGAGAGGATGTCTTATACTTACCTCCAAGTATCCGACGGGCCCGTTGAACGGATAGTCGCCGAGGCGACGTTCCTCGTCCAAGAATTTCCCGGCTTTCCCATTCACGGGTGGGCAGAACAAGCCGTAATTGAAGCTCTCCTTCAGCTCCTGCAAACGATCGCAGAATCTGGATCAATGGAAAAAAATTGTGCGGTGGATCGGCAGCCGCCGCCCGCCACCCCCGTTCTACTATATACGCATACGCTACTCTCATGCAACAACAGGGTGATATATACAGAGGGAATGGTGCTGGAGGGGGTTGGTTTCGAAACCGGATTCGAAACTTACTTCCATAGCTTTCCCCCTTCCCTTCGAATCGATTGGAGCTCGCCAAGACAAGGGAAGCTCAAGCTGCCTATCGTTCTCGGGGGAGGAGGAGAAGAATTCTCAACGCCTCGAGAATAATAATAATAGTAATAATAATAATAATAATAATAATAATAATAATAATAATAACAATAATAATAATAATAACAATAATAATAATAATAATAATAATATTTCATCGAAATCGTTTCATCCTTCTCTCCACCGATATTCCACGTTTCCTTCCTCTCTCTCTCGTTTCGAATTTATATAATACTCGAGGAACTCCTCCTTTTTGCAACGACTCAAGCTCCTCGAACGTGTCAACTCTCCATCTCGCGGCGCAAGTATCGTCGAATGGAGGGATCGCGTTCCATCCCTCGATTTCGCGTCCCCTTGGGTGGTTGAGCTGTGCTCGCGTGCCGAACTCGCGTTGTTCAACTTGTCGGAAACGCTTCGTCCCGACGGAGAGTCGCCCGCGGCGGGGGGAGGAGAAAAAAGAAGGGAGAGAGGAAAGGGAAAGAGAGAGAGAGAGAGAGAGAGAGAGAGAGAGAGAGAGACGGGTCGGTGCATTACCGGGTAAAAACGAAGGAGGGGGCGGAAGAAGAAGGAGAGGAGAGGAGAGAGATTCCCACCCAACAATCATGGGAACAATAGCCAAGAGTGGAACACGTGCCAAATTAAAGGCCTGGAAAGTAGCAAAGTACCGAGGTGAGCGCGATCGTGTCTGGCCCCGGCCGTTTAAAACCGTGCCCGATGCGCGGGGGTGTGGTTGGGAATCGGAACACCCGAGGAGAAAAGCCACCGAAAAGGAGGGGGAGAAAACGCGAAAGAACGCCCATCCAAGCGTCTTTTTCTTCCCACCGATGTTTTCACGCGTTCCTCGAATCGAATCTCGAATCGATCGAGGGTGTACATCGAATCGTTCGAGGCGTATAGATTCAGATATGGATATTTAAATACGTTGGCAAGTTGCCAAGTTCTCGAGAGGAAGAGAGGGATTATCTGGTCGACCTGGTTCGATTCGACTCGAGAGGGTTTCCTTAAGGCTCCTTAAGGAAGTGGGTCGCGATCGTTAGTGACCAGGAAAGAGAAGAAGGAACCTTCCCTTCAAAGAGGAGAAGGAAATTCGGGTGGTCGCCCCTGCGAATCTCGAAAAGAAAAATTTCACAGGGGGAGGGAGTCGAAGGAAACGAACGAGTGAAAGAAGAAAGGCAAACGTTGATCTTGCCCCCCTCTCCGACCCCCTCTCTCCTGGCCGATCCTGGATGCGTCATTTCGAATAGAAATCCTTCGATTCGAGGTTCAATCCTTCTTTTCCATCAGCTCGAGGTGTATTATTAAAGGTAAGGAGGGAAGGGGATGGAAATTGGGCGAAGGCGAAGGAAAAATGGATCGTCGAGAAACGACGTTTCCGCTCTAATTAGTTGCTTCGATGAAGCGTTTAAGCGAATTGCGAATATGAAACACACGTGGGCCGAACGTTTCGATTTGAGCGGAGAAGGTGGGCGGGGGAAAAGAGATGGAAGGACAATATCGGGCGAAGAGAGATTGGATCACAACGATCGAGTGGGATTTATCTTGCGCGATTACTCAATGAAACCGATTGCGTCATTTTTTTCTCCCCGTCTCTCGAATATCGAATCGAATACGAAACGACCCGTCCACCCGGGACCGTAACCTACGTCTTTGGAGTGAAAGTTGGATCTCGCCGGTTTCGTTTCATTTTTTTTTCTCCTCTCTCTCTCTTTTCTGTCTTTGCGCACGTACCACGTAGATTCACAAATTTTGCCCAAAAAGGGAAGAAAAGGGAGAAATATATATATCGAGTTCGAACTCGAGTTAAAAAAAGAAATTATTCGGTGGAGGAATGCATAAATGCGTGAACAAGGGATTAGGATAACGGGTCGCGTTTGTGTCCTTGGATTTTTCACGCGGTGAAAAGGAAGAAAGAAAAAAAGAAAAAAAAACAAAAGCAATATTCAGGAGGAATATTCGACGACGGACGAAGAGGAGAGGAGAGGCGCGTGTACGAATTCCGCGTGGATGAAGGGGCAAAGCAACGTTAAACGGCAAGAGCCCTCCCCCCCTTTGTACGGCCCTGTACGGGAGAATAATGGTCGAACCGTGTCTCGATCGTGCTTTATGGGATGTAATTGCGGTGCGGGCCCGTGGCGAGAACGCAACCCAGATAGAAGCGTTACGGTTTTAACCTTCGCCACGACCACGAAAACGAGTTTTTGCGAGAGTTTTCGCGCCACCTTGGACGCCACCCAAAGATCTACTTCCTTTCCACTTTTTTCCTCTCCCTTTTCCGCCCGCCCTTCCTCTCTATTCTTATCCCGAACGCGTTTAATTAACGCGCGTAGTGATAAATTGGAGGGGAGGGGAAGACGAAGAACAGAGGCGATCACGGTCGTCCATTAGAAAGTTTCGCGAGGCGAGATCGAAAAGGAGGGAAGAGAAAAAAAAAAAAGGAATCGATGAACGCGTTACGAAACAATCCACGGTTATAGAAGGGAGGGGGAGATTACGAAATCTCGAAGATTCGCGAAACGCGTTGGAATCGTTGGATGGACGGGACAGCATAAGGAGTATGTCCTCCTCCTCACAGCGAGAGAGAGAGAGAGCGGGTTCGAACCGTGGTCGAAGCAAAAGAGCCGTGGTCGGCGTTAAAGAGGAAATACGAGCCATAAACCTTGGATGCGCGCGGCGGCGGGGAGGGAGAGGAATACGAAATTCGAGTTGCAATCCAAAGAAATGAAAGAAATGAAATCTTGGCCGTCCGTTTAAACTCTTTCCCGAGACGTCGTTTCGGAAATTTTGTTATTGAAAATCTTTATCGTGTCTCGGGAAAAAAAATAAATTAGATCGTTTGAATTATATTATCGAACGCTTTATCCTACGATAAAACGTCCATTCGATAAAATAAAGAGGACGGATCCGATAGATATTCCACACGTGTCGCTTCCACGCGTTTCACTTATCATCCTTCCCTATCCAATAGCGCATCGAATTCGATGGCGATTATCCAACGACATATATCGCGACATAGATCGAAAACTTAGATTCGAATCCCCTTCCTCGATTCTCTCGGAAATCCTCCGCGGATCGAATCCATTTCTTCTTTACCGAGCGAGCCAATTTTTAACACGCAAGACGAAGGATCGAAGGAGAAGGAGGGAATTCGGAGATTCTTCCTACTTCGTTCTCGTCTCTCGTTTTCTCGTTTCTTCTACTTCTTATATAACCCCGTCGGTTATAGAAAAACAGCCGACTTTATCGGCCGTCCGAGAAACTGGTTACAAATTGCGCGGGAAAACGCGATACGGCCGATCAACGTTCGGCGTAATTCATTCTAGGGACGGATAATCGTTGGAGAAACGAGAAAGGGACGGGCTCGTTTGCGGGTTTGCGCTCCTCCTATTCCCGATAGGACCGGTCACGTTCCCACAACAGTTGAACGAAAAACCTTTCTTTCCTTCGATTCTCTCTTTCTCTCTCTTTCATCCTATTTCTTCTTGTGCCTCGATACGTCGATTGTTAAATAAACGCGAAGGGAGTAAATGGTTGGCGGGTGTTCCGCCTCTCCCTGACCGGAACGTTTATTAAATCACCTTGGTTTACGGCGACAAGGAGGGGGGAGGTCCAGTCCGGTGTTTGTATAAATAATAAAAGGACAAATGGAGGGGAGGATGGACGCGTCTCCATCCTCCCCGTATCGCCGCGGCTTTAGAATGTAAATTGAACGCGAGCTACGAATCCACACGCCGCTAGGGGACAGAATCTGCTTAGGTGGCTATGGACGGCCACGATGGCATGCCGTGCCCCCCCTCCTCTCGGCTCTCGTGCGCATCTAGACGGTTTATACACACCGTCCTGTGCTCGACTCGCAGTGGCGTAACCACCTCTCTCGCTCTCCCGGCTCGAGCGAGGGGAGAAGGGAGATCTCCTTCGAGTATTCGATATTAATATCCCTCCCGAATTTTCTCCCTACGTCTCCATATTTCGATCGACTTTTTCGTACGAAAATGAATATTTCTTCAATCGTATATAAAAGAAACGGTCTTAACCATCTCGCTTACACGGGCCCGCCGCTAAACGAGCAAAAAATATGCACAATACTGCGAAAAAGATCATCGCAAAACCCTTCGACGGTGTTAAACTTTCCTCCAAACATTTAATTAACACTTTCAAGGATCAAATAACATTACATGATACAATAATTAACAATATCTCGTGCGAGAAACAAACGATAAGAACGAAATACCACAAGATTCCAAAAGAAAGATACAATAACTCGAATCTACTAATTATACTATTATAATCGCCCGTCATATCAATTCAGTCATTTCAATTCACGCAGAGCGACTTTAGCCAGCCGTAATACGTAAGTGGCGGCATTTTACGTAGACTATAGTGGTAACGAAAGAAAGCTTAAAATTCCAAAGGGAACGAACCGGCAACGGGATGGAATACCCTCCTAGGACCGAGTGACCCGGATTCGAAGTTACGCCACTGTCCACCGCCGCGAGTTCGTATAATACATACACACACACATTGCACACAGAGCAGTATAAATGGAAATCTGTATTTATACGCTCGCTTGTGTGTGTGCATGTGAATATATATATATATATAAATATATATATATATATATATGTTCGTGGCTCGGCCCGGTCCCGGGGTCGCACGATAATGACCTTATTACAGGAATTACGGGTTTCCAGGGGTAATCCGGCCTCGGAGGACTCGGCGCACTCGCCGTTTTTCGTACTGGATCTCGCATCCACGCGTTCCGT